TTTAATTGACGAAAGACGAAACTAGGTTTCGCGTTTCGTCAGCGCGAAACCTCGAGGTTTCGTCTAACAACTATAGTTCTACCTGTGAAAAGTTCTTTGCAGAATAATTAAAGTATAAAGGAATCCATCGTACTGAGATCAAATGTCAGAGACGTTAGAATTCTTAATGGAGTAACATACTCCGAATTCAGGTTGAACCTAACCCAAGTTAGAGTGGGTTTAAAATATTTCTAAATTCGAAGCAACCCAAAGTAGATCCGGAGCAACCCAGAACAAATCTGGAGCAAGCGATAGGGTGAGTTGAAGATTAGATCAGTCTGATCCAGCTTAATAAAATAATAAGCACGGCTTATGTAAAAATCTGCTTATTGAAATTACTTATTTTGCAGAATCACTCTGGCGAAAGCCTAAAATAAGATAAATGTTTAAATATTATTAGTATGAATAACAATAATTTTAAAGTTATTAACAAGTTCATCTCGTGCAATGCTAAAATTAATAAACATATATGCCATTTACCTTCGCAATGTACGAGTGACTCGCAGAATTAAAAAACAAATTTATAAGAATTCAAAGTACGTACAAGCATGAGTCGAGTAGTATATATAACACAATGGTTTTATGATAAAGCGTTCGGGAAATTGTCAAATTTGTTAATGATTTTCCAATACGTAATTCGCGATCTAATGTAACCTTAAATCCATAACCTTTTGTTTCTCAATACACGATTATATACGAATTTATAAAATCATTTAACCTTTTTTTTTTTTAGAAAAAAAAAAGGAATGAAGACATAAAAAAGTATAGAATTCCAAATGACCTGGAGATGAGTTTCCGTACTATCAAAGCGAATATATATATATATAAATTAACAGATTTTTTTTGCTTTTTTTTTTGCTCATTTTCTTGAATTTGCAATTTGAAATTTATACGTACTATAAATATATATATACATATAATAATAATAATAATAATCACAAAGATAATATACATATTTATAAAATATAATATAATGTTTATGTACTAAACTATTTTTGAGTTGCCATTTTTTTTTCGAAAAAACCTTTTTACAATATTACTGATCTAAATCCTAGTTCGTTGATAATTTACAACAAAAAAAGAAAACGTTCATGTAATTAATGAAATCAAAATTTAAAAGAGACTATCAATTTTTATGTTGCCGGTAATTCTAGTTCTACTTATAGTATAGGTGAGTGTTATTAACGTAAAAATGTTAAAGATTGTAATTAGCATTTCACGCATTTGTATATATGAGTCAGTAGAAACGCATCAAATTTTTTCTAATTAAATTTTTTTAAAACTTTAAAAAAATAACTCAACAATGATTTAATCAAATTTAATAAAAATTTTTTAAATCAAGATCATTAATAAAATTTGCATTAGGCTTTGTTGAATTTTTTTTGACTAAAGTTCAAAAAAAAAAATTCGTTAAAAAAGATTTGGTGCATTTTGCTTACTCACCCCATGTATTGACAGATAACTATAACTACAAACGCTTACACACGTGATATCAGTCGAATCCATTCGTATTGATCTTTTAAAATTTTATTTGAAAAGCCGTAGTAGATGCTATGACGTTAGAATTATCTTCAGACATAAACTGTTGACAGCCTTCACAATTTTTCTCTATTACAATATTGTAGAATAAGTATTATAAACATCAAGACATTAATATATGTGAGAACAAAAATCTATAATTAGTAAATAATAATAAATACCAAAATACAAGTAAGAAGGATCAAAGCTGGCTTCTGGTTCTAAGTTTGTATGTAAATATGCAAGTACGTAAGTACATACGTGTCATGAGTGTAATTCCAATAATAATGATGATCTCTCGGAATAATAATGATGACAACAGATAATAGCAAAAACTCCGAGATCTTTATATTATACATACTATCTTGAAGTGGTGGAATACAAAATTCGTCGTTACAAAATGTTCCTGGAATTGCTGGTTCAAATTCTCGAGATTCATCTGCCAATGATGAATAAGTTAACTTTGTGCTCACTGAAAGATTGAATGAAGTAGTCTTTGTATTTGAAGATTGAGATGCATTTGAAGATTGAGAAAATTGATTCATTATGTCTTCTTGTCCAAGATTGAATAAAGGAAATTGGAAGAATGAATTTACATTTGAAGGTTGAAAGGGAAAATCCATTACGTGTTCTTGCCCTTCTTGCTCAAAATTTAATAAAGTAGTATCCACATTTAAGGGTCGAGAGGATAAAACCATTAAGTCTTGTTCTTCTTGGCCACGATTGGATAAAGTAGTGTCTATATTTGAAGGTTGGGGGGATAAATCCATCCCATTTTTTTGCTCTTCCTGCTCAAAATTGGGCAAAATATTCTCTGTATTTGAGGGTTGAAGAGATAAACCCATAATATCTTCTTCTTGGGCAAGATTGGATTGAAAGAATTGATTCATTATGTCTTCTTGTCCAAGATTGAATAAAAGAACTTGTAAGAATGAATCTACATTTGAAGGTTGAAGAGGTAAATTCATTACGTGTTCTTGCCCTTCTTGCTTAAAATTTGGTAAAGTAGTCTCTGTATTTAAAGGTCGAGGGGATAAAACCATTAAATCTTGTTCTTCTTGGCTATGATTGGATAAAGTAGTGTCTGTGTTTAAGGATCGAGGGTATAAATCCATTAAGTCTTGTTCTTCTTGGCCACGATTAGATAAAGTAGTGTCTACGTTTGAAGGTTGAGGGGATAAATCCATTAAGTTCTGTGCTTCTTGGCCATAATTGGATAAAGTAATGTTTACGTTTGAAGGTTGAGGGGATAAATCCATCCTATTTTTTTGCTCATCCTGCTCAAAATTGGGCAAAATATTCTCTATATTTGAGGGTTGAGGAGATAAATCCATCATATCTTTTTCTTGGACAAGTTTGGATAAAGTAATCGCTGTATTTGAAGTTTGTGAGGATGAATCTATTGTGTCTTTTTGTTCTTGGTCAAGATTAGAGCATGTTTCAATTTGGTGTTTTTTCTTAATTTCCGATGTTTTTTTTTTAAATTTAAGTATATTCAGATGGGGTTCCATTTGTGTTTTAAATTCAGGTTTTTTCCTATCCCGAGATCTCGTTTCAGGCTTATTATCAGGTGTAAGTAGTTTTTGGTATCGAATTTTGATATTATTTTTATGAGAAGTTTCGCATAGATCTTTACTAAGTCCTGCATCTTTCAATGTTTTTTTTTTAAGTCTAAGTATATTCTGACGGGGTTTCATTTGTTTTTTCCCAACCCGAGATCTCGTTTCAGGCTTATCATCAGGTGTAAGTGGTTTTTGGTATCGAATATTCATTTTATTTTTAGAAGTTTCGCATAGATTTTTACTAAGTTCTGCCTTTTTCACAATAATTAAATGGGCAACTGAAATTTTTTAAGTATGATACGGTATAAAGTGATTGTTAAGTACTGGTTCGTAGAGTCTATCCTCAATCCAGTAATGCTAACTTTGGTAATTACTTTTCGAGATGTTTGTTTTGCACATTCGTTCTTTAAAGGCAACGAATCTAAATTGTAACTGTTAAATTAACTTCTATAGAACACGTACTGTTACATTTTCTATAGTCGATCCATAGTTTGATTTGCATTACAACGAAACAGGTTCTTATATACAAGTTATACATAATATATTATCTTTGCGTAGTAATTAAACTTTAGATATATAATCCAAACGCAATTTGAAATTTAGTTTTTATCGCGATCTACGTATAAACAAGTACAGTATTTGGAAATTCCTATTTTGGATTTTTGCCATAAAGTTGATGTGGGCTGAGAGTATTGTAAGCGTTCCCAGTAACATAACAGCCAATCTATTATTTTAAAATCAACAAGTAAAGCTATAGAATCATAGATAGTATGTGGTCTAATTGCCACAATATAAAGTAATTCAAGTATAAATTTTTTGCATTTTATTATAGACCAATTAGAGTGTAATCCCACACACATTTTTCCAATTATGCCTTCTCTAAAAGATCAAAATTAAAAAGCTTTAATAAACCTTCAATAAACGAAAAATATTGTCCGAAACGATCAATTAAGAAATGCAATCGTTGATCAGTCGTAAATTCAGTTACAAAATAGGAGGCCATTAAAACTTGATAATTTAATAAATACTGAAATAAATAGATAAAATAATATCGTACTGTCCGGCTTTAAACGATTCTTTAATTCAAAAATTCGGGAGGGTTCTTGTCGCTTTAGGCTGCATTAATGAATGAAATCAAATATCATAAATATATTGTAGAATTGTCATACAATCATTTTACTCAGCAAGTTATAGACTCATTAGTAAATTTATTTTCTAGCCTGGAATTTGATGAGATACTCTAAATAAGGATTGAGGTTTCTTATGAGACTGTTCAAATTTGATATTTTAAATATTAAAGTACTAAAAGGACTTAAAGAATTTGATAATTTTGGGGGTTTGAATTCTGAATCATTTTGCATAGAAACTATTCGAAATCACTTAAAGTCAATGAGCCAATTAATAATTAATGTATCGGATATCTGTGTAAAAACCTGCATAAAAAAAAGACCTCCACAAGTAACGTAATTCGTAATACCGTTATAGGAATTACTTAATTGAACTTTTTGTAAAAAAAAAGTTATTACCTAAATAATCAAATTTTCCGATTCTATCGCGCGAGTATGCAGTAACAAATATAAATTATTCACGCGTTTGTTTGGTGCCACAAATTATGTCACCTAAATTAAGCATTTCCTTTTGGGGGATAGCTAAACCTTAACGTTAATGCCAGTATTTCGACAAAAAAAATTCTGATAAGCTTTGAAGAACATTATAATGTGGTATTAGGGTACACATTTGTCAGTTATATAGATATTGCACTTTAAATAAAAAAAGTGTCTTGATATTTGTATATTTTTTTTTTCAAAACTCTAAACAAAAGTATCACAAACTGCCTGATTAATTATATTTTCGAATACTACGGAACTGTAGAACTTAAAAGTTGTTAAATTTAATATAATAATTGTGAAGTTTTTTGAATGATAATATTTCAGAAACAACCGATATGTAATGCAGTAATGACAATTTAGTATTCTGCAGATCTGAAAATCTGCTTATTTGTTGTGTAGTTTTAAAGTTCTAAAAACTTAAATTAGCCGTGATAAGAGAGATGCACAATAGGCTTCGTAAATATCCGAATTTGTATGCAATAAAGTATTATTTATAATTTTTGGCTTAAAGAATGCCAATAATCATAGAATTCACTTAATCATAGAAAATGTATCTGCGATTTATGAAATATACGATCACAGGTTGAAATAAAATATATCAGATGAATATTATAGAAACATCAGGTACTGATTTTTTCTGATTTTAATAAAGATATATCGGGAGCTGATAGAACTATCAGTAAGCTACAAAGTATCTGATAGCTTATTGTAACCTATCAGCTCCCGATATATCTTTATTATTGTCACGATGAGCGCCAAAATTCAGAAAAAATCAGTACTTGATATTTCTATGATATTTATTTGATATACATTATTTCAATGGTTATCCGCAGTAGTGAACAAAAAAATGAAAGTAATCATCCGAAGTATAATGTCAATATATTAAGAATTATTAATTCGTTTTGAGCTTAAACTAATGCCAAGATTCATAGCATTCGGTTGAACTCAAAATCATTGAAAACGGATTAGCAATTACTAAAATATTAATATAACTTTATTGTTTAAATTTCCTTTTTTTGAATTACAGCAGTACCGTAATTTGCGGTAAGTACCCGGGTCTCTTACGTTCCTAGGGGCAAATCTTGATTTGTACCCGGTGGGTACTTTGTCAGATGTAGATATTTTTATATGGGGAGTTTATGTAAGGGGATACTTTAAATGCAATAAAGTTAACCAATCATCATTTAAGTAAACGCGAAAATACTTGGATACATGTTTTAGATATACTTGGATCTTTTACAATCATGTTTACAAAATATACTTGATTAATCCCAGGTACAAATCGCGGAGGCATGCTAACAAGGAGGTACTATTTGCCAAAATTATTGAAAAAGTCTATGCACTATCTGTTAGAAACAACCTATCATGACTAAAGCTAATTGTGTGAATATATAATAAACGATTGCTAACCATCCACGGTAATCATAGATTTTATAGAGACAAATGATAAATTTATCGTATAATACAATATTTCAAGAATGGCTAAACCGTTATGATAATTTTGGGCTCAAACGAATTGTATGAACCTTGGTATTCATTTAAGCCCAAAATCATCAGAAAGGAACTGTCCACTCTTGAGATATCGGCATTATATGATGATGCTAATTTGTCATAAATGCACTATCATATAATGCCAATATCTCAAGAGTGGCTAATTCCTTTTTGGTGATTTTGGGCTTAATTGAAGTCAGAGTTCGTAGCATTCATTTAAGCTTAAAATCATTAAAAAAGAATGACCTTTCTTGAAATATAAGCGTTAAACGATAAAAACTATCATACTATTGCTGACTTTTTTCGGTTCCAACTTTGTGAACGATCAGCATTGGTATTTCATAAATCGTCGATTATTAGCACAGAATTATGGACCGGGTATTCTCAAATTATTTATAGTGCATACGAATTCCGGATATTTACGGCGCTTACTGTGTAGGTTGCGGGAAAACCCAGCAGCCTACTTTTCACGGGCTAAAAATGGCATTCCGAAAATCTATAATATCTTTCCAACAAAATTTTACGATCACGTGACACGCGACAGACTTAAAAAAAGTTAGGATCTAAAGGTTAGAGTTGAAGCTTTAATAGTAAAATCGTTCAAGGAAAACTTTCGTTAATTCATAGAATGTGGCTTCCTATGAGATTTTTGATATCATAACGTTACATCAAATAGAGATTCGTTATTGGCTTATTTCGTCGATACACGTGATCGTAAAATTACATAGCAACCTAAATTGAGGGGTCATTCTTGATGCGTCAAATTCTCGATGACCACCAACTAAATTCAATAAATTTTTTTATTTTCATTCATCAATTCTATATAAACAAAATAAAAAAAATTTTATCAAATTTAGTTGGGTGGTTGCTGAAATATCTTCTCTCAAAGTCTTATAAAATTTTTTCGCAGCTGTTATTTTGATAGACGTTTTAATGTTTTCAAAACTTTGAGCGAAGTTATCTCAGCAACTAGCCAAATTTCGATTGATTTTTTTTTTATTTTGATTATACAGATCTATAGAAACAAAATAAAAAAAATTCATCGAACTTGGATAGATGGTTACCAAGATACTTTGCTCAAAGTTTTATAAAAATTTTTCTGGTTGTTATTTTGATAGTTTTTATATTTTCAAAATTTTGAGCGAAGATATGGAGTCTTTGCCATGAAAATCACGTTATGAGACATGATTTACTATGTCCCATAACGTGATTTTCAAGGCAAAGACTCCATATCTCAGCAACCACCTAGCCAAATTTGGTAGATATTTTTTTATTTTAATTTTACAGATCCATGGAATCAAAAAAAAATAAAAATTCATCGAAATTGGAGGTGGTTACTGAGATATCTTCGCTTAAGTTTTATAAAAATTTTGCCGCGGCTGTTTTGATAGATGTATTCAAAACTTTGAACGAAGATATCTCAGCAACTACCAACCGAATTCGATGAATTATTGTTATTATTTATTTCGATTCTACAGAAACTGAAGAATCAAAATAAAAAATATTTACTGTATTTTAGTTGGGTGGTCATTGAGATATCTTTGCTCAAATTCTTGGAAAAAATTCAGATTTTATGGAAATATGATGCATCAAGAACGTCATCTCAATTTAGGGTGTATTGTAGATCTATCAAATGTAACTTTTGCTACATAGCAGATATAAACCCTATGAAAGAAATCAAAGAGACTGCACAAACTATGACGCATGGGGCTTGTCGAACGAGTGGTAAACAGCCGAAGTAAACAAACGCGAAGCCAAATATTTACGATGGTAGATCCATGTAACAATGTGTAAACTCTAAGTAAAGCCTTGGAGAAAAGTTTAAGTATGGTCAAAGCCTTTTGGATCATACAGTATTACAAAAGAACTATTTAAGGACGTAGCTTGCGTGAGGTTGGTTACGACGCTTATGTGCGAAGAAGGAGCAAATAAGAACATTTTAAAAAAACATACTAAATCACCATAGTCACGCCTCTAGCGAATTGACCTATCCTATTTCCATTTTGTATTCACTTATCATATTACTGCGCTTGACGGTTCACTCGTAACACTAGAAGCATGCGTGCGTACGTACGTAACGTAAGTACATTATTTCTGCAAGTGGTACAA